TGGCCATCCAGCCTCTGCTTAAAAGCCTCCAAAGAAGGAGCCTCCACCACACTCCAGGCAGAGAGTTCCACTGCTGAGCAGCTCTCACAATTAGGAAGTTCTTCCTAATGTTCTGGTGGAATCTTATCTCCTTCAGTTTGAAGCCATTGTTCCACATCCTAGTCTCCAGGGCAGCAGAAAATAAGCTTGCTCCCTCCATCCTATGACTTCCTGTCACATATTTATACATGGCCATCGTGTCTCCTCTCAGCCTTCTTTTCTGCAGGCTAAACATGCCCAGCTCTTTAAGCTGCTCCTCATAGGACTTGTTCTCCAGACCCCTGATCATTTTAGTTGCCCTCCTCTGCTGGGCTTGATCTGATTGTCAACATCTTTAAATTGTGTGCCCAGAATTGGACACAGTATTCCAGGTATGATCTTACCAAGGCATATTTTTAAAAATGACACTGGAAATATAGGTATATAAAATAACATTTACTGATAATAAATAAGCATTTGCAAGGCTTGCTAAACAGGCTGGTTTTCCTTTTTATGAAGTACAGTTGAAGCAATTTCTGTGTAGTCCACTGTACTATACATCGTGGTAACACATTTGTGTGAATGAATAGCATTCAGAAACCTTTTACTTTGAGGATTTTTTTTCATGGGCCCAACATTAAGTTAAGAGGACCCCATTTGGGGTCGAGACTCACACTTTTAGAGGAGATCAGTTGTTCAGTTTTGGTGGACCATCGCTTGTCGTCAGATCAAGCCCAGCAGATTTAGATAAATGATAACTAGAGTGTATTTGAAGCAAACCAGCTTAAATCTGTGTGTTCTAAAAGTGGGTTTTAAAGCAAACCATTAAACGCAATTTACGATTTGACTGACATAATAAATTGTGGTTAAGTATACAAAAAAACCTCGTCACTTTACAGCTGTTCCAACAAATAGATGATCAGGAAGGGGAGCAGCATGGCTTATGACATCCAGACATGCTGATTAAGTTAAGATACTTCTTTATATAAAATGAACCAATTCATCATTTCTCAAATATGATTGTTAATACTCTACTTGTGAAAACAGCCAGCAAATACAAACGGTTCTTGACTGCTTTGATTCCACAGCAGCCATGGACATTTCATTTCTATTTGCTTCTTTTCTATTTGCTTCTTTTCTATTTTTAAGAGTGGGGACAGGGCAAGGCAGATTGAAGCAGTGACATTACATCTAGTTGAGTCCGATTCTTGAAGGTGGTGCTCATCTCCATTTTTAAGGCAAAGAAGCCGGTGTTGTCCATAGACACCTCCAAGGTCATGTGGCTGGCATGACTGCATGGAGCACCATTACCTTCCTGTACCTATTGATCTACTCACATTTGCATGTTTTCGAACAGCTAGATTGGCAGAAGCTGGGCTAACAGCAGGAGCTCATCCCATCCATGGATTCGAACCACTGACCTTCCTATCAGCAAGTTATGCAGCTTGGCAGTTTAACCCGCTACGTCACCACAGCCCCTTTGTCTTTCCAGTGACTCTTGAAAGACAAAATTGATCCATATACATTTTGGTTATTGATTTAATTATTTATAGTATTTATATTCCACCCTTCTCAACCCGCAGTGTACTCAGGGCGGATCACAATGCATATATACATGACAAACATTCAATGCCATAGACACACAACATATATTGACAGACACACAGAGGCTATTATACTTTCCAGCTTCATGAGAGTATGCTTTCAGTTCCAGCCACCAGGGGAGCTGTCGCTTCATTGTCCACTTGTGACACCGATGGAGTACTTCCTCATTCTTTTGCATGCTGCTGGAGAGTTTTATGGCATCGTAATAATCCCTGCATAAGCAGTACCTAAACTTCCTACTTGACGGATGCAATTGTCTTTCGGGCTGCAAAGGTCGACAGCAAGCTACACAAATGGTTGGGAACTTACTCTGACCCAGGCTAGCTTCAAATTCACAACTTTTGGTCAATAGTGATTTTAATGCAGCTGACTCTCAACCAGCTGTGCCATGACCCGGTCCTAATATTCTCAAACTTCACAAACCGACCTGGCTACTTTCATTAAAAGCCCTGCACAAAAATGTTTTAAAGAGATACTTTTCCATATGTTAAAGGAAGGGGAAAACATGCAATAAATAATGCAGTAGAAAGAAATCAGGGCCAGTCATAAGGAAAAAAGTATTTAGTAATAAATGAGTAGAATTTAATGATCATATGTGAGAAAGGGTGTCAGTGGGAATGATAGGTCAAAAAAGCACCCGAGCACATATGTATTTCTCCCTCTCTTCTTTGAACTTTGATCTGCCAGCTATAAGATGTTTTGTTCAAACAAGAGAAAATCTTACGCATTACAACTCAGGTTGTTTTTAAAAAAAAAGTTAATTGGCACTTTTCAGAGTACTTTCCTAATTAGTCTGCAACCGACCTGAGCTGTGTTGAGAAATGAACTGCCGTGCTCTTTGCAGATGATTTTTTTTTTCTAACAAGATCTTTTCCTGGATCTTTAAAAACCTTTGCAGAAAGTGTTTGGTCAAAAAAAATCTTGTCTTATGAACAGAGCTCTCATATTTGCTGCATCTGACATACCTTTCACCTTTTCGAGTATACTGAAAGAAAGCAAACTCTGAACATTTTACAGACCTAAAACACAACAAAATAAACTCGATCTCACTCATTTTATTTTGAGGATATGTTGGGACTATAACAATAAGTAATCCAAGGAGGGATGTCTTATGGTGATACATCGATCAGTAATAACAAAGGTGGGAATTAAACTTCTCCCTCCTTTGAATCCTTAGATATGTGCAGATATGTAATTTATTTATTGCTTATTTAAATCAAACATGATGTTGCCATGTGCTTGAGAAAGTACAGTACAACCCCCATATCTGTTGAGGATACATTCCCAGACTTTGCATGGATATGCGAACCATGGACAATAGCAAACCCTATTGAAGTGGAAGACTTCCACCCCAGTGTTGTGCTAAAGGACCAAGAAAATGCCTTCTGATCAGCAAGTTATGCAGCTTGGAAGTTTTTGTTGGAGGTCATTTTTTGTTGGAAATGGATGAATGAAACCACAGATGTTGGTCCCATGAATACAAGAGTTATATTGTTTTTTCTATTAATAATGATGACTATATATGCATTTTTGGCTCAGCTATTTGAAGGGATTATGGGAGTTGTCAAAAACATCTGGAGAATATCTGGTCGCCTTTCCTTAGGCCTTAGGTGTACATTGCATGGTATTTACAACCTGAGCTGTGGTAGTTGTATTCATGTAAAAAGGCAACAGGCGATTTTGCCCTTTTGATATATGACCTACACCACTATTTCTCAAAGTTCACCTACACCACTGTTTCTCAAAGTTTAGATACTTCAGACACGCTTGACTCTAAATGCTCCAGTTTTTTTTTCTCACCTTCCTCCACTTCTCCTCCATCTCTTTCTGCCTTCCCTGATTGACAGGGTCAGCAAAATTTGCTTTAGGGAGGGAAAAAGAGATGGAGGAGAAGTGGAGGAAGGGACAGGGAGAAATATTCCTCAAATGTTATAGTCTGGAAAGGATGTACTTTTCCAGACTCATTCTTACATGTGGGTGTGGTTCCTCTTGCTGTTGATGTACCTTCCTGTCTTGTCTTGTGACATCTCGCTGTCTCTGATCCCAATCGAAACCTGGACCTGCCTACATATCTCTCGTTCTGGATCCACCTCTACTCTTTCCTAACCTCCCCTTATGCTCCATTGGGCTCTTCTACCACTCTGCTCACTATCAACAAAGTATCTTGACCCTCATGTCCAATACAATTGTGCACTACTATATATTATTGTAAGTGTAATGAAATGATGACTGATGAATGGAGGACTTAACTCATCATGGCTGCAGTAAATTTGGAACAGGATCCAGAATTCTGAAAATTGTGATTTGGATTTGGCCCGTTCCAAGTTTTGGTGCAAAAGCTACCAATTTTAATAAATTTAGTCAAACTCCACTTAAATAAAGAAATAGCCAATTTTCAGACAGTCCTTGTACACCTTTTTCCCCGTTCATTTCTTATGGGCCTGGGCCCCAAACCCTTTATGTGCCTAGAACTTCTCTTGCTACTGGTTCACTATGAATCTGTTCTCATTGTCCTGATATTGATGCCTGATAAACAAACTCAGTGGGCAGAGAAATTCTAGAACCCTCCATTCGTTTAGGTTAACATATTTTATGTCCTTGTTTTAACCTCTAACTTTTGAGAATTTCCTGACTACACCTTTCCCCTTCTCTCTTGACTTATTCTAGTTACTTTGAAGCCTATCACTGTGTAAACTGATTGAAGGTTGCCTATATAAAAGGTCACGTGGAACTGTAATGTATTGACATTTTTAGTACACCCAGATTTTAAGCTACATGAGAACTATTAATATAGATATATTACACTCTCTTTTACATAAATGCAAGCAAGATTGATGTGACTGATTTAAATATCAGGGAACAAAAAACTGAAAGATGTTGCACAAAGCAAAGTTTAAGGCAGGGGTCCTCAAACTAAGGCCCGTGGGCCAGATACGGCCCTCCAAGGTCATTTACCTGGCCCTCGCTCAGGGTCAACCTAAGTCTGAAACAACTTGAAAGCACATAACAACAACAACAACAACATTATCTCATCAGCCAAAAGCAGGCCCACATTTTCCATTGAAATACTAATAAGTTTATATTTGTTAAAATTGTTTTTCATTTTAATTATTGTATTGTTTTAAGTGTTTTTTGCACTACAAATAATTTATGTGCAGTGTGCATAGGAATTCATTCACTTAAAAAAAATTATAATCCAGCCCTTCAAAAGTTTAAGGGATTGTGATCTGGCCCTCTGTTTGAGGACCCCTGGTTTAAGGGATTGGGAAAAACTTGGTATACAGAACATTGGCGGAAATAGCATATATTTGTAGTTGTGAAAAGCAAATAAACAAGCAACTTCATGTGCCAACCCAAATATCTACCTCACATGACAGGTCAGACTTGGAACTCCAATTCAAGTGCTATCACCATGAAGACAGACAGATGAACACCAACTGGCCAGCATCAGTCCAGGTCAGCGTCAACGCAACTCCACTTACCATCGAACGAGGCGACAACAAGACATCGCATAAACCCCTGCACCTAAAACACGTCTGTCAGCCGGGAAGAAACACAATTCAAATTACCGTCACAGCATGCTGTTGTGTAAGTATATTGGATCTGTTGTGGCTGCTGATGCTATGGTTTGCCTCTAGAGGAAGAAATGTTTGTTTTTTTAAAAAAAAATTGGGGAAGTATTCTTCCAGGCATAATTCTCCAGGTCCATTCACTTTGTACATTTTCAGTTGTGCATGCAATACATAAAAACGTCTTGATTCTTTGCCACAACACTCCCAGCTAGTTTGCATGGAGACAAAAACAAACTCAGCATACAAAAATCTAGGAAAATACTCCTCTAAATACCTATAAATAAGATGGCCATACAACTCCTATGTGTTTTCCATAGATTATACAAATTTTGAGTGGGAACATAATAATAATAATAATAATAATAATAATAATAATAATAATAATAATACGAAGAATAAGAAGAAGAAGAAGAAGAAGAAGAAGAAGCTTTATTTACGTTATACCCCGCCACCATCTCCCCTAAGGAGACTCTGGGCGGCTTACATGAGGCCAAGCGCAAAGATCCAATACAACAAAATAAAATACAGAATACAGACAAAAAATTACATCAAAATAAAATATGTATAATAGCAAAATAAAATAAACAAAACACATTAACACAATATAAAATCGAACAGAATGGGCAGGCCAAATGGATGAGGTAAAATGATAAAACCCTGGATGAGGTAGGAAAGAAAGTATGTAATTTAGGGGAACCCAAATAATAAACAGTGGGGTAGGCTCTCAGTTTAGGACAGGGGAAAGTGCAACATAGGGGCAACACTATAGATGGAGCAAGCAGAAATGGGATGAATGGTCACTCAAATACACATGTATTTCAAATACACATATATTTGAAAGGAAAGTGTGTGTTTTCAGAGTTCATCATGCTGGACAGTTCACAGTTGCTACATTCTCCATATTGAAGCATGCACATGTTGATAAACATCATATCATTCCTAATGGCTCAAATAAACGTAATCAGTTTTATTCAAAGGACAGCATTGCACAAGAATGCAAAACAGGTTTGTTTTGCCCACCCTCTCAATGTCCTGGCTTGTAAAGCATCAATCACATTTTCAATTACACATCAAAGTTGCCTACATAAATTTCCTGGAAGAGGTTGACTAAGGGGAGTGATTAACAAATAATAAGGATGCAGCATGCTATTGAAGCATGAACCCTGAATGCTGCTCCTTTTTGACCAGTACTTCCTTAAGGATATAGTGTGAAAGTCATCTACTAATTAACTGCCTGAAAAGCCAGTTTTAGGGGAACTAGTCTAGTTTCACCACCGCTTTTGACTAATATACCTGTGATGAGTACATGCTTTTAATGCTTTCTGTCATCTTTAGAAATCAGTGTCAACTAGTGTTGATTAAACTGATAGTAAAGCTTTGTGTGCTTGCATCAGAGTCCAGCACTTAACATCCTGCAAGTCTTTCAAAAAGACTATGTACTTATGGTTTTACATTTGGCAGACCAAACAATCCGGGAAGGTTGGGGGGAGGGACAATTTCTCAACATAAGATTACAAGAAGGATCTCTGGTAATCTATATAAATAAAAATGTAATGTTCATTTGTGGGATTAACATAACTCAAAAACCACTGGATGAATTGATACCAAATTCAGACACAAGACACTTCTCAGGCCATCATTCTGAAAAACACTGAAATACACAGTGGGAGGGACTTTAAAAGCCAAAAAAACACATTACAACGCATGCATAAAACCACACACACACACATATGCAAAAACACATATATACACATACACAAATATATATGCACACACATACACACACAAAGCACATATACACAGACTGGGCCATAGCAACATGTGGCAGGGGATGGCTAGTGGGATATAAATTCAGATTTACTCACAACAACAAATGCAACTCAATGGTATAAATGATTGGAGATTTCTATTTAATTTGACCTGTAACAGAAGTCATTTACGCTGTTGTTAAAATATTTTACTATTGGTGATCTTTTGCCTCCTTAAGCCTAAAACATCTTAACACAAGTTGAACTGTTCCCATTTAGGAAGGAGGAATGGGCCAGAAGACAGGGAGAAGAATATATCAAAACTTGCCTCACAGTGACTTGTGGCCATGCCCACCAAAATACCCATGCCACCTAAAACTTAAAAAAAAAAATGTTGTATGCAAATCCAAAAAATAATTACTGTAATTATCAATTTTCCTCTGCCCATACAGTCTCCGGAGACCCAGTCCATTAATTTCCTTCTTTTGCAATACCTCATAGACCTGGGGTCCCCAAACTAAGTCCCGGGGGCTAGAGACGGCCCTCCAAGGTCATTTACCCGGCCCTCACTCAGGGTGAACCTAAGTCTGAAATGACTTGAAAGCACACAACAACAACAACAACAACAACAACAATCCTATCACATCAGCCAAAAAGCAGGCCCACACTTTCCACTGAAATACTACATTTGTATTCGTTAAAATTGTTCTTCATTTTAATTATTGTATTGTTTTTAAGTGTTTTTGAACTACAAATAAGATATGTGCAGTGTGCATAGGAATTCATTCTTTTTTTTTTCAAATTATAATCCGGCCTTCCAACGGTTTGAAGGACTGTGACCTGGCCCTCTGTTTAAAAACTGTCATAGGCAGTGATGTGAGCAGCAATCATTGAGCTAGTGGGAAATTTCCCATCCTCCATTTTCAGATTTCCCTGGATTACTGGCATGATGGATTCCAGACCATACTGGCTTGTGGGGGATATATTGTGCCTATCTGCTTTGTAAAAGCAGTGGGGTGAAAGGAGGCTTGTATTTCAGGAGAGGCAAACTGGAGCAGAATAGAAACTCCTTCACAGTTTATATTTTACAAAATCTAGAGTTTTCATCTTAGAGGTGGGTTTTTTTCAAGGCCCTTAAGTGTGTTTGCAAGTGTGGCTCAGCACCTGTGTTATCTCTGCCAGGTGATGTGAGGGGGTATGGCTAAGCACACCCATGGCCAACCACTAGGAACAACTGTTAGCCCTTCCATGGAAGGAAAGCAGAGGAGAAGGGCATCACACTGAGCCAGCTGAGTCCCAAGTACTGTTGAATACACCCACCTCATCCTTCCTACACAGTGGATCCAAAGGATTAAAACTTACTCAAGCAATGACTTGGTCTCTCTCTTTCCGTCTCTTCCTTTGGAAGAGCCTTGACCCAAGAGGCTTAGGATCCAATTTAATATCCAGACAGATCAAATACGATTGATTGTGATCTAATGACTGAACATATGGATACATTTTGAATGTTTATTTTCTTTTGTTTTGTTTTCCTCCCAGTCGCATTTGTTTGTGCTGCAGTTAGTACATCGGCCATCCGTGCGTTCAGTACTTCAGGGCTTACTAAAGAAACGTCTCCTTCCAGCTGAACACTGCATCACTAAAAGTGAGTAGAACAAAATCCTTTACCTCATTTTGTGGACTCGTTTAACTGTCTTAACCAGAGCTTTTCAAACATGTTGGTGGCATACCATTTTATACATGTATCATTTTGTGACACAGTGAGATATGAACACATACATAAATTATAATAACAAAATATATGGGGACACAGCGTACCTCTATGATTTATTGCTTATATCACATAGACTCAGAAGCTTCTCATTATGTTTGTGCAACACACCTACACATTACAGCTGATACATTAACGTGTTCTAACACACAGCTTGGAAAGCTCTGGTCTAAATAAACTGTTTGAACCCACCACTATTCTGAGAATTCTGTACCAAGAACAAAATGCACAGCAATGTTGAGTTCTTGCTTTGATTTTATCTTATTACCACACTCTTGTTTGACCTTTCTTACAGTCAAAAGGAATTTTAGTAGTGTGGCAGCCTCCTCTGGCAACGCAACTCTCAATGGTGAGGATGGAGTGGAGCAGACCGCTATCAAAGTGTCTCTGAAGTGTCCAATCACATTCCGCCGGATCCAGCTTCCAGCAAGAGGCCATGACTGCAAACATGTACAGGTGAGTCGGCAACCCATTGAGAGAGAACTTGAAACTTGGCAGCTATGCAGCACCCTCTGCCAAATTCATGAAAACCTCCCAACTTCCACTCTGTTTTTGCAATCCCAGGCAAATGCAAACCTTGATGGATTAACATTAATAAATGGTGTCCAGGCTGTGTTTTCTTTGGCCACCTACACATTCAAGACAGTTCTCAGTTTAACACTGTCAGCTTAGTAGGGATATAAGTTTTAATTCTATTTTTTCATGTCAGGAGCGACTTAAAAAACTGCAAGTCGCTTCTGGTGTGAGAGAATTGGCTGTCTGCAAGGATGTTGCCCAGGGGATGCCCGGATGTTTTACCATCCTGTGGGAGGTTTCTCTCATGTCCCTGCATGGGAAGCTGAAGCTGACAGACAGGAGCTCACCCCACTCCCCAGATTCAAATCCCCAACCTTTTGATCAGCAGTCTTGCCAACACAAGGGTTTAATCCAATGTGCCACTGGGGGCTTCTTTAATTCTAATGAGCTCTCTGTACAGTTTATCAGTTCCCAAAAAATCCTGAAAAATGAGGTAGGAGAACAGAAATTTCCTTTTCCTGCTATGAGTGGGAAACTAGTAAAAAATTTCTGCAATGATCAATTAGAATGACAGATATCGGTGTAACTTGCCTATTTTAATAAGATAGAAGTTTACTGATGATAGACTTGTGGTCCCTCAGCTTACATGGTAGTAGTAGTAGTAATAATAATAATAATAATAATAATCTTTATTTATACCCCGCCACCATCTCCCCAAAGGGGGCTCGGGGCAGCTTACATGAGGCCAAGCCCAGAAATGCATTACAATACAGTAACAAAAAACATAAGGCAATATCATAATAAAATAGAATAAGACAAGCATAAAATATAACAAACAATACAAAATAATACAATAGAAAATCAAACACAATCACAATGAGCGGGCCACATGTGTAAAATACAATGATAAAATACCTACAATCTCCCAAAGCCCTGAGATTGCAGAAATAACAGCAAGGACAAGGAGCTCTCCTAGCTGTTCCTTTAAAGCCCTGCTTAAAATGGCAGCTGGCGTACTCTTGACTAGCTTGTAACTCAAATCTTTGTTCATAGTCAAAGCAAAAATTCAACTGAGCAACAGCTCATATCTCAAAAAACTCATACATTGGTTAACTTGTAAGTCAAGGTTTCACTGTACTTAATTTTTAGTCAGGAGAGCATGCCTCTAGAACATGGCCATATAGCCTGAAAAAACCTAAAACAACCCAGTGATTCCAGCCATGAAAGCCTTCGACAATACAAATTCATACTTTGTTTTTTTTAAAAAAAACAAATTATTATTATTATTATTATCATTATATAACTTTATACCCCTCCTCCATCTCCCCAAAGGGACTATATTACAAGCTTGAATTTCTCCACTGATTTCACTGTACAGCTCTCAGTCGTGTCCCTGGAGATATTAAAGTCAGCTTCCTAGTGAGAACAAGGAATCCAAGCGATGAGATAGTTCAGTCCATCCCCTATAATTGTCATTGATGTTGTTTGCTTGTTAGTACAATTAGTATAAATTCAGATTCAGCATAGCAGGATAAAATGGACAGCAACATCAGTAAAAGTCAATTAATTACGTAGAAGAGCTAGCCCAACTCACTTAAGGTGAAAACCAACTAATAATAATTGCCAAGAGAGACTGATAATAATATTATTCTAAATGAAATTCTTAATCTCAATTACAATAGACTTCCTAGAACAATGGGATTTAGGGAACTGCTGACTTGTCATTCAGGAATTGATTTAATTGCTGTATTGTAATTGCAGTCTAATTACAGCTTGCAATTAGATTACACAATCGTGTTAACCTGATGCTCACATAGCTTGGAAGAATAGAGCCAATAGGATAGTAGGTTGTGCTCTAAATGAGACTTTCTTAGGAGAGGAGTTTACAAACAGGCCACTGCCAGATAGATCCTCCTCACCAGTATGTAGTTCCGCTGTGTTCCCGTTGTCTGTTCAATTATATTTTCTTCCTAGTTTCTCCATTCCCCATGTTTCTATTCAGAGGCATTTTCCTGCTTTTTTGTACTTCTCCATTTGTAAAAGTTACTCCCAGACTGATAATACGGTTTTTATGCATGTATGGTGTGAGTTTTGACTACAAAGGTATGAAAACAGTAAGACTCAACTCACTATTAGAAAAAGAATTGTCAATGTGTGCAGTATTAGAAAGATGTGCCTATAGATATTCATAGAAGCCCTAGAAAAGTTACTCCATTAGTACAAAGTTCTTGTGTCATTAGTGGTCGTGTCCCACTCATAGACTCATAGAATTGAAAGAGACCTCATGGACTATCTAGTCCAGCCTCCTGCCATGCAGCAAGAGCACAATCAAAGCACCCCCCAACAAATGGCAATCTATCCTCTGCATAAAAGCATCCAAAGAAGAAGCCTCTACAACCCCTTCTATAATGCCAAATAATTCAGATAATCAAAGCAGATTACCCACATTATCTGCTTTGAACTGGACTATATTAGTCTACATGGTCATATAATCCAGTTCAAAGCAAATACTCTGGATTTTCATGGGAGTGTAGAAGGGGCCTATCATGCTCTGAGGCTGGATCTACACTGCCCTTTATCCCAGGATCTGATCCCAGATTATCTGCTTTGAACTGGATTATATGAGTTTACACTGCCAGATAATCTGGGATAAATGGATAATCTGCGATTAGATCCAAGAATATAAGGCAGTGTAGAAGGAGCCCAAAGGATCCTTTCCATCAGCCGCTCATTTTATTTTACTTTTTTTTGGCTGGAGAACTGTTTAACTGATGCAGCTTGTTTTTCTGTTCTACAGTGTTTTGATCTGGAATCCTACTTGCAGTTGAACTGTGAACGTGGGACGTGGAGGTGTCCTGTATGCAAGTGAGTGGACATTCAATATAAGATACAATGCATTTTTTAAAAATGTAAGATTCCAAAAATGAATAGTAAGAGGTAATCAGATAAGATGCATGAACATGTAGCAAGAAGAAAATGCTTTAGAAGTTCAGTTTCACCAGTGCTGTAAGAGACAAGCCATAATAGATACAGAGCAACACATCTGAAATCGATAGGAGCTTTTTCTGACTAGTCCAGTTCCCTACAAAATGATATTGATGAAAACTATGTCATCGTATCCAAAATAAAAGAGAAGCACTACACAAATTCTGCCTTTGCAATAGTGAGCAGACACGTCATTGGTGGCACATCAAGATATAACATTATGTTTCACTTCGCGGTATTTTTCAAGCTGGAATTGAATGCTTGCTGTTTCATTGGGGTGATCTATCATGGTGAACAGTTACCCACCATAAATGCTATTGTACAAGTGCACACTTGTACAATAGTGATGAAATTATTCATAACACATTGTCATCCATTTCCCTCGTTATATGAAACACATATGGGAGAAACTGTAGTTCACATCATTCCTTGATTGCTATCATAATTTAGACAAAAAATGTACTGTCTTTACTTATTTTTTCCAATATTTCTTGCTTCATCAGCGACATCTTGAACCACCAAGAGGTCTCTTGCTCTAGGCCCTTCCACACAGCCATATAACCCTGAATATCAAGGCAGATAATCCGCAATATCTGCTTTGAACTAGGTTATCTGAGTCCACACCGCCATATAACCCAGTTCAAAGCAGATAATGTCGGATTTTGTACATCTGTGTGGAAGGGGCCTCTGTTTAGTGACTCTTGCCTGTTGTCTTATATATCTGAAACCACATTCCAAAACATTTAAATTCTCTCTTTTCTAAACCTCAGATTGACTTGTTTGCCCTGGAGCATTTAGCTTAGGTTGGTGTTCCTCCAACGTTGTCATATATGCTTTGTTACTATATTAATATCTTTAATATTATCCATCTCTTACGGAAAAACATCAAGGTACTTGCAAGTGTTTCTGTTCCACCTCCAAATTTTACAAATGTCGCTTTGTAAAGCACCATGCACATACGTGTCAATAAATTAAATAAATGTACTCCTTTCTGTTCTAGTAAAACAGCTTTGTTGGAAGGCCTGGAGGTTGACCAGTATATGTGGGGCATTCTGAACGCTATACAGAAGTAAGTACACCTTTACAGTTTCAAAATCAGCACACTTCCCTTGCTTCTAACATCCCTGAAATTCTGCTTTGGAGGTTTTTTCTGGGCACTGAGTAATAGTGTTGGGATGTCTTAAGCTGCAAGACTTTCAATGTATGTTGATAGCAAATTGCTGAGAAAGAAACTTCATGTGAACAGCAGATCTAGAATAAGTTGTGGAACATCTGATGATCCAGTAAAGCAAGTCTTGTATTTTTCCTGCTGTTAGAAAGTAGACTTCATTGTGAAGTCATTTAAAAAGTTCTGTCAACAGGCCAATGAGAGGACACGTGTACTTTTAAGGATAATGTGTATGCAGACCTAGTTTAAGACTAGGAGCCTCTCATAACACTGTGCTACATCAGTGGCAAGCATTCCCACATAACCTCTTGTGTTTTGTAGCTCTGAGTTTGAGGAAGTCACAATTGACCCAACTTGCAGCTGGAGGCCTGTCCCAATCAAGTCAGACATTCACATCAAAGACGATCCAGATGGCATTCTTTCAAAGAGGTTTAAAACCATGAGTCCTAGCCAGATGATCATGCCGAACGTGATGGAGATGATTGCAGCTTTGGGTCCAGGCCCATCACCATATCCATCAATCCCACCTCCACCTGGCGGCACCAATTCCAATGAATACAGCAACCAAGGTGAGCTCTAATCTTATTTTGGTGTATATGCATGTGCCAACTGTTAAGTAGCATATCCCCAAAGGAGTCAGAAACATTTCTTCCTTTACAGGAAGTTGAATGGAAACAAGTTGGTAGAATATCCTCAGTGATGGCTGAGGACACATACCCATTCAGTTTTTAATGGTTTTGCCTAATAGTGTTTATTATATGCATGTCCTTTGTACATAATCTTCTTGATTCCTGTTTGTACCTGGAACCCTTTCACATGACACAATAATAGCACTATGGCTGCACTTGAACTGCCCAGGTGCAACCTCTGGGATCCAGAAGTTTCCCAGAAGAGAAAGAAGAACATCTTCTGGAGGGGGTTTCTCTTTGTGTCCTGAGTTGCCCTCCAAAAACAGCCTTTAGACAATGTTGAAAGTAAAATAAAAATGCTTTGCTTCAGCAAACACAAAGGATAAGCAAATGCAATTGAAAAATGCCAAAGAAAACAAGGGACTCTTAATCCAGACACAAATTAAAGACTCTTACAAAGTCCCCCCAAAAAAAAAACACACCAGTCTTCCATCAGACAGCAGGCAATGAACTAAGTCCTTAGCAGCAGATACAAAGCAGATTCCATTGGAGTGAAAACATCAGTATCAGGGTCGTTGTTACCGGTGGAAGCTGACTCCTCCTACATCTGATTTCTAGCCCTGAATTCCCCACGCAGGAGGTGCTAGGGAGTCTCCCAATTAGCTCAGCGTTTTTAGCAACTATCCTAGTTGAATGCCGTCTCTTTTCGTCTCTCTAGGAATGTGGACACTTTCAAACTTTCATCGTCTGATTCTTCTTCTCCCTCTAATTCCTTAACATTTCCCTGCTCCTCTTCCGAAGATGAGGAATCCCTAGCACCTCTCCTTTTTCCTGACAGGGAGGGAAAAGACAGACCTCTTGCCATCCTCACCAGAGGCAACAACACCTAGAGATAACAGTCTTTTTCCTGCCTCTAGTCTGATAGGACACATTATTCTCTTCATCACTTTTCCAGAGCTTCAGATCTTTCTTGTTTTCATTTCCCTAGTTTTCTTTCTCTTCAAAAAATAACTTTCTTCTCTCTGTATCAAATCTGCTGATTTTTCTCATTCCTCTCTCTATGGGAGTCCAAGAGAAGTTTCAGCTGACAGGCCAGTCATAAAACCAGGAAACTTGTATGGACAGAGAAGAGGAAAAGGGAGGGGGGCAAAAGAGGCTCATTCACATGGGAGTGAGTCTATGAGCCCCTATGACATTGCCCCTTTCAGCACCCTGTCTCAGTTTAGCATACTGCCCTTTGCATGCTGATCACAGCTTTCATCAAACTGCTTGCCGGCCTTTTGGACAAGTTGGGCCTGGCTTCTTGTTTAAAGCTGTTCAGCGGTTACTGTGAAAAAGCAGAAAGCAACCATTTTCACACAGTGACTCGAGTATTAACTTTCAAATGTCGCCATTGTTTGATTCCATTTATAAAGATCATGGCACTTCCAGAAACCTGAAACATGTAACTATAGCTCTCAGAACTGGTTTTTCTAAAGGTGTGGGTAGGGGTGGCCTGCTAAGCTCTGCCAGGCATCCTGCTTGCTCTTGGGTCTGTTCCCTAGAAGTTAATTGTGTTCAAAAGGCTATGCCCCTAAGAAAGTGTGCAGAGAAAGGCAGGCTTAGCTGTTTTGCAGATTAGCAAAGTGAGAATTAGTGAAGCTCTGCTGTATTTACATGACAGATCAAAGCCTCGGCTTCCTCAAGAAATACTCTTACACAGCTAATGATTTCTGTTCCCCCGAGATTAAACTTCTCCACAAAACGAGCTTGTGCTGGAAAGCAAATGATGCAGATGCTTCAAGTCCCATCAAACTCTCTGTTTGGCTTGCATGTTGTAAAGCTGCTGCTCTTCAGCTGACAAAACTGTATCCCCTCCAGGCAAGCTGCAAAGCTGCCCTATTATTTCAGAGCTCAACATGATCCTGTTCAGTGGCTTATGTGAAATAACTTAGTGGTGTTCGTTCTGTTCCTAGTTCGTATCGTTTAAACCACAAGGGCTGGTGTTGCAGTTAAAGGGATTTAACTGAGATGCTCAAAAGATAATGGAAATAAAGAAAGACACAATAGCAACTCTTTACTGTAGGGCTGGAGGTAGTTAACCAGGCCATCAGGATTAATAGGGACATCTAGTCACTGCTCTGTTTATTCTGATCCTCCTGTAGATTTATGGGAAATTCATTGGACATTATATAGAGAACTAAAATAGGCACTTTGAGAAGCCAGGGTCAAGTATCTTGAAAATGACTGAGTAGGATGGAATCTACTTTCAACCTGCCAAAAGGGAGGCCCTGGTGGTGTAGTGGGTTAAATCCCTGTGCCGGCAGGACTGAAGACCAACAGGTCGCAGGTTCGAATCGGGGTAGAGGAGGATGAGCTCCCTCTATCAGCTCCAGCTCCTCATGCGGGGACATGAGAGAAGCCTCCCACAAGGATGATAAAAACATCAAATCATCCAGGCATCCCCTGGGCAACGTCCTTGCAGACGGCTAATTCTCTCACACCAGAAGCGACTTCTGACACGACAAAAAAAAACTGCATAAAGACCAGAATTCTGCTAAAAGTGCATCAGTATATCAGAAAATTAGAAAATATGAATACAAACAAAGGGAAACCTGAGGCATCATTGATTGGTGGCCTTTCAAGCAGTTGTTTAGATTCTAAATTACTTCCTGGTGTTTTTTAAAAGGCCTTTTATAGTTTGAAAACAAAAAAGACTGATATACAGGATAGATCAGAGGTTCCCAAATTTATTTGGCTTAAGTAAAGGTTTTCCCCTGACATTAAGTCCAGTCATGTCCAACTCTGAAGATTGGTGCTCATCTCCATTTCTAAGCTGAACAGCCGGCGTTGCCCATAGACACCTTCAAGGTAATGTGGCTTGCATGACTGCATGGAGCACCGTTACCTTCCCACCAAAGCGGTATCTATTGATCTATTCACATTTGCATGTTTTCGAACTGCTAGGTTGGCAGAAGCTGAGGCTAACAGCAGGAGGTAATGCTGATCCCCGGATTCAAACCTGTGACCTTTTGATCAGCAAGTTCAGCAGCTAAGTGCTTTAACCCACGGTGCCACTGGGGGCTCCCACCCCTTTTTTAGAAGAAAAAAACTCAGCCCCCCCCCTCCCCAGAAACCTACCTACCTTTAAGCGAACAAACAGAAAGATGCATTGACAAATTTGCATTCTTTTGTGTATCTATATTTCTACCTACATCCTACAACATGATAAAGAAAGACATTGTTGTAAATAAGACACCTTGAAGCTTGAAATTACAAAATTAATTAAAAATTAAAATCAACCAGAGTAGCATTATAAATGGAAAGATTAATTTTAAATAAAAAGTATGAATAGCATTAAAATTAATCCTAAATGGGAAGGACAAACCTTGTGTGCTGCTATCAATTTATTAATGTTCAGCTCTATTTTTGTCATAAGCTTGAATTAAAAAAATTAAATATTCATTGTAGTTGCACTATTGCTTGTCACATAATTCAGAAACAATCTAACTTAGATTTCATACATGTCACCTGGTTGTAGTATTGTATTGTAAACTAATCATTGCACGCATATAGTCCTGCAGATTCATGCTAGGAGCCCCCGGTGGCGCAGTGGGTAAAATCCCTGTGCCGGCAGGACTGAAGGCCTACAGGTCACAGGCTCGAATCCGGGGAGAGGCGGATGAGCTCCCTCTATCAGCTCCAGCTCCTCATGCGGGGACATGAGAGAAGCCTCCCACAAGGATGATAAAACATCAAAATCATCTGGGCGTCCCCTGGGCAACGTCCTTGCAGACGGCCAATTCTCTCACACTAGGAGTCACTCCTGACACCACAAAAAAAAAATGCTAGACTTCATAACGATATGTGACACACTTGCCCACCGACACTTGCTTGTGATGTCCTGTTGGCGGAGTTTTAATTTTCATTTTGTGTGTTCATTTGAAAAATAAAGTAATTACTAAAACTGTTACAAGAAAAAAAGGAACTTGCATGAACTTTCCCCCCCAAAAATGTCTTCTGTTCTTTGTTTTTAATGCCCCTTTATTTTTATTCAATGCCCCTAATTGCACCTGAGGCTGCTACCCGTCCCCTGTTCCAGTGCCCTTAATTTGGCAACATTGACCACTTTGGGAAGCACTGGGATAGATGGTCACATTCTCTTCTTGTGAAAAAACAAATGTTGTTTACTGTTGTAAACACAAATTCTAAATGTAAGTTTAATGTGACTAAACCATCAAAACGACATTAATCACTTAATAGTAGCTGGCAAAGTAAAAGACGGAGTGTAGACCCTGTTGTAAATTCTCCCTCCTGTGGGAAGTTTCTAGTCCAGTCAAAGCTTCGTTGTTTTCTCCTTGGCAAATAGTAAATATTCAACTCAAATGTTCTTGAAGAAGCAAAACAAAGATGACAAGGGTCCCCGTGTTGTTTTAACCTCGTTTTGGGATGCTTTCCCTTCGTCAGATTTCTGTGCTGTCTTCTATGCTATTAGACACATTCTCTTCTCACCACACACTTTGCTATTTCTGTGAGATAGCAATGTCTACTGTGCTTAGATCTGCAGTATCTATCTTAGTAGGAGACAAAAATATCATATCCACCCGCTTCCTTGTATGCCCTTCTCAGCAAGAAAGTGATTTGACTCCACTTGCCATTGCATATACTTGTTTCATTGAAGGAGAATAGGAGATACGCCGTGCCCACTTGCTGTTAAATTACATGCCTGGAAGAGAAAGACTTACAATTGGAGGAGGAAGACTTGCCATTGTGACCTCAAGCTGATATGACTTGCCTGAAGCCATGAGACTGGCCATTGTGCCCTTGGTGCTACTGGGATCTCATGCTGATGGAGCTTGTGAGAAGATAGGTTTCTGGTTGAACCTGCGTCTTTCTACAGTTGCTGTCTCACATAAACGAGAAGAGCAAACTGGCCTGTGCTTACTATCACTTCTACAAGTCACTGGAAACTTTTTCTTCTTCTCCCATCCTTACAATTGCAAGGTTCTTTCCCTCCCATCCATTTCAGATGCAATATTTTAAGTTATTTTTAACTATTGTTTTTATATGCTATAGTTTTTACGTTATTGTATTGTACTGTGTATTTATTTTATGCTTTGTCTCAGACACTTTGTGCCATATGTAAGCCTCCCCGAGTCCCTTCGGGGAGATTGAGGCGGAGTACAAAAATAAAGTTTCTATTGTTGTTATTATTATTTTCGTCAGGCAATAAGGAAGCCATCACCCAGTGTCTAGTATTACATTTTAGGACACTAGGCAAGTAAGTCTGCAGCCTGCCAGTGAGAGCTTTTCTCTTCTGTGGCTGCCTGCCAACTATCTGTCACATCTTTAATCAATGTGAAGCTCTCAAGAGATAACCAGTCATCATTTCAAGATGATAAAGTATCAGGAAGTGAACTTGAGAAAGAGTGTCATTCCCACAAGCAACAAAAAAACTAAATATATTGAAAATGATGATTTAGAACGAAATCTTAATGCCAAGCTAAGATTTATTTCCTGTAGACTCCTACTTGGTACTAAACTAGCATTTAAACAGACAATTTATGTGGAGTATTTTTGGAGAATCTAAAAATCAATTTGCCTTGACCATTGTACACTTTTAGCAGCACAGCCAAATATTGAAGGAACCGAGGATAGAACTATAGTAATTTGTACTTATAGGATAAATGCTTTCCATCAACAACTCATTCAGCACTTCTAGTGCAGAGGAGTGAGATGAAAGCATCAAACTAACATTGGAGGTGGTAAGGAGAAATATAGTTATTATGTAAGTAAACGTATATCATTTGCCACATATCTCTTCTGGTACATGAGAGCAAATGCTTGTATAATGAAAAGCTTGTCTAAACTACACTGAGGTGCTTTCTCCCTGCAGAAAAGTTGAACACTGAATCTTAGAGCCACGTTTAGCCACATCTAAGTGCCACGTTTAGAATGCTTCACGTACATAATGACGTACCTTAGAAACAGAATCCGTGCCTAAACATGAAATTCATTTATGGTTGTTTTATACATATCGGGAAGGTAATTTTATACACACTAGATTCAATACCTTTATCCATGAAATGAAGTTTTTATATATCGAACCATCAGAAAGCACAGCTACTTTGAAACATTTTAGATTTCCAGGTAAGGGATCCTCAAGTTGAAACTGATTTTGGGGTAGTGGTCTTATTCCCGCTGTGCTCATGAGTTTAAGAATGTCATTATTATTTTGTGTGTGTGGAAAATACTTTTAAGTGTTAATAATTAAATTGGTTTGCATTTATGAAGTTGAATTGTTCTAAGGGTGCAACTAACAGTAGAGCTTCATTTGTTTGGATTCTCAGTACCTTCTAAACTTGTTCACACCACGCTGTTTTTGTGTCCACTGACCAAATCTCAGTGATACTGGGATATACTGGTAGTGAAAATGAGTTTAAAGAAGAGATCTCATGGTCTGGTTCTTAAAAGAGATGCATTCATGTTTAGTCTTCCAAACAGCCAAATGAACTTTACTACGAGGTGGTTATAGAGTACAGTGGCCTATTCCAAATGTTGCTGACACTTTTCTGTTTATCCTAATGGATGGTCTGGAATCATCCCTAAAAGAGGAGCCCCCAGTGGTGCAGTGGGTCAAACCCCTGTGCTGGCAGGACTGAAGACCGACAGGTCGCAGGTTCGAATCCGGGGAGAGGCAGATGAGCTTCCTCTATCAGCTCCAGCTCCTCATGCTAGGACATGAGCGAAGCCTCCCACAAGGATGGATACAACATCAAATCATCCGGGTGTCCCCTGGGCAACGTCCTTGCAGACAGCCAATTCTCTCACACCAGAAGTGACTTGCAGTTTCTCAAGTCGCTCCTGGCACGACCAAAAAAAAAAATCCCTAAAAGAAGTACAAATACACACATATGCTTCAAGAAAATGTCATGGCAGTAGTAAGAGCTCTGTTTACATTTCCTCCAATGTGATGTTTCATGCTTGGTAACTATATTAATTCTATGCACCTTTTAGAGTAACTCTTATTTTTCCTTTACTATTAGGTAACAATTATCAAGGTCACAGCAATTTCGATTTCCCCCATGGGAATCCTGGTGGAACATCTATGAATGACTTCATGCATGCGCCGCAACTCTCACACCCTCCAGACATGCCAGGTGGCATGGCAGCCCTTGACAAGCCCCTAAGTCACCCCATGCAAGACCCTGTAAGTCATTTATTTATTTACTTACCATATTTATAGATCTGGTCAACAACCTATGATTTCTAGGCAACTGAAAGATCTGCTACACAGTACAATATTTGAAATTTATTTATTTACTATGCTTCTATACCTTTATCCAAATCCAGTGAATTGCACACTTTAAAAAGTAATATTGGAAAATGACAGCCTTCTAAGCCAATGTGGATCATTTTAAAATATCTGATTGAATAAAACACTCTTCAGCGGATGTTGAGAATATGATGATGGGAACATTGGGTGAATTTCTCTCCAGGAGTAATTCTGCAGCAGAGAGCCACCACTGGCAAAACCTTTTTTTAAGCAGCCACTGAAAAGGATCTTAAGATCCAGATAGCAATGCACAAAGTGAATGGTCCTTCCAAGTAGTCTGGTTCCAGACAGTTAATGGGTTTGAAAGTTAAAGTTAGGCCTGGATACAAACTAGAAACCAGTGGTCACTAGCCTTGAAATGAGCTACTACCAGTGGAGTAATTTTCCAAGCATATTTGCAGTAGTTTCCAGACTGTTTTTAATCCATGTACAACACAATTAAACTGTGTAAACAGATTACTTCTTCAGAATGGTATCTTTTAAAATTCACAATCTAGCAGTAGTCCTTACACAAGCTATAATAATTAAATGCAAATGCATTATGGTATCAAGAATAACAATGTAATTCAGTAGTAGAAATGGTTCACAAACATATTTTGATGTTCTTTCCTTTGGCAGTTCAATTACATATGTCAACATCAAGTGTCAAAGGCATTATAGTAGTCTCAGGATTGCTCGTAAGAGTAGCTTACTCTTTAGGTTGTCTTTTCCATATGGAGCAAAATTCCCTAAGAAGGGACTATGAACAACAGAAGTACCTTTAGTGGAGGGCCTTCCCTCTTTTCTCCTTTTTTAAAAAATGCAGCATTGCAGAAGTGAGAAATCTATGTCCATTCAGCTATTGTTGGATCACAATTACCAAGATCCCTGAGCCTCACTGGCTGGAGCTGGTGGGATTTGAAACCTAACAGTAGCTCAAAGGCCAGTGTTTTGCCGGGCTGTTTTTGGAGAGCAGTTCTGCTGCAGAGGAAGGTTCAAGACACTTGCATTTGCTATCTTCATTTCCACAAAATTATCTGCTCCTGGAATTGAAGGTATCAGGTAAAATAACCTGGAACTTCATTAAGCTCACTCTCTCCAAAGTTTATTTGGTGATAGCCACTGTCGCTTAGTAGCAGGTTTTAGGGGGAGTCTATGCAGGCAGACATGAGGAAAAGGAGTTCCTTTCCTCCATCAAAAGAATTTACAGATGTTTTGAGCACACTGTAATCTGTTCCTTCCCTCCCTGCCACCTGGCAGGGGGGCAAAGTAAACCACAGGAAACCAAGGAAAGAGAAAGTGACCCATTGATTTTGTTTACCTCATTCATCAGCTGGAGAGAGAAATAAATAGCCCCCTTTTCCTTTATCTCTCAGGAAACAGAAAACATTGGTTATTCCTCTGCTTTTGAAAACATGTTCTTTATTTTTTAGCTCCCAGGTTACCAACATCTAATGTACCCCTTACAAGGCAAGCTTGGATAGCTCCTTCCCTGTTGTCCTTCCACTGGCAGGAAAAGACTTTTTTTATTTACACATGTTCTGGCAACTGAAAAAGAGGCATTTTATTGGGTCAGAGATATTCCAGTTGTGAGCCACTTTCATTTCAATACTAGGAGAAAAGTAGTATATAAAATAAACAAGTCAAGACTTTTAAGTAAGTGGGATCGGCAGTCACATATGAGTAAAAGAGGATACTGGATTCTCCAGTTTCCACTCCTATCCGGGAAAGAAGGGGTAGTTGTGAGACAGGAACTTGCTAGCAGACCAATTTTGGCCCTTGTGGGATTTCTTCCAATGACAGCTTATCCTATTTGTATAATCACCTTACATTCATGGCATCTTTGTTGGAGAAAATGCAGAAGCAAACCTTACACAGCCATGCCAATGACTGATATGGCCAAATGATATTTCACTAAACCCAAAGTAAAATCCATTTTTACACAGCTAGTATTACTGGCAGAATGCACATTCATGAGGAGAGAAAAAGAAAGCATCAAACACAACTTTCCCTTCTTTTGCCATAACAATAGCAGAAGAAAGGAGATCATCAGGGAGCACCTCTTCTTTGCCAACATCCTCACCTTTTGACTTCTCTCAAGGTTTGGAGGTTACATAAAGGGAGATCTGCTTTTTCTCTTCTTTTATGCTAAGAAGCAGGGGAAAGGACAGAAAAGACATGGAGGGATGGGGTAGAGAGAAAGAAGAACCCAAGGAGCATTTGTTTTTCTTTTTAAGGGTCACCACTCTGACCCTTAAAAAGGAAGAAGGGGAAGAAAAAAAAGAAATGTGGCAGAAGCACAAAGACTGATTTTAGCACGAACCCATTCCCACAACTGTATAAATATGCATTATACCTGAATAATACCATTTGGTACTGCATCCAGATAAGTGGGTTTATAGCCATGAAAGCTTGTGCTAAAAAAAACAGTTTTAAAGATGCTACTACCTCTTTTTTCCTTCCTCTTTCTTCCTCCCTTTTATGCTGCAAGATACTGATATGATTATATCTTTGAGAACTACTGCTCTGACACTTGTGCACTTGCAAAGAGAAGACTCTTAAAAAGGGGATATCAATGCAAAAAAGCTGCCAGGGAGAGAAAAGCTACTCCCTACTCCTCAAACATTGCTTGTCCTCTCTGCTGGAAGCAGGCTTTTCAAATCCCTCTAACATTTGCATTGGCTAAGCAAGGACATTGTGTTTGTTTGTGCTACTATGGGACCTTCCAGACAGTATATCCCAGGATCTGATCCCAGGTTTTCAGCTTATCCAAGATTATCTGGCAATCCAGTTTAAAGAAAAAAACCTGGGATCAGATCCCGGAATATAGAGCTTGTCCGCAAAGGCCATATGTCTGTAAGTGAATGGGATTTGATCATTCATGCGGATGAGGAGACATGTCAGGTAGCAAGGATCTGTTGTACAATCCTGCTCGTTGCTCCTACGCTGCGTTGTGCATGCCTCTTTGAACAAGTGTTTGGATTAGGTGAATGAGGCAACTGGTCTATTTAGTACCTGGTCAAGGAATGCATTCAGAGTACATTGGGTAACAGTGAAAACATTTTTTAAACCTGCTGGAATGTGTATATTCACTTGTAAGTGTATTTAAAAGTTAGTAAATCTGCTACACTCTAGGGATTTTCTATGCTTTCTGTTTATTTGCATGGCGCTGCTATGCTCAAGCATGAATTTTGCTGTTTTATATCAGTTGGATTTGTTATTTGTTTTCCATATTCACATGAAGGAATCCAGTTCAACATGCATGGTGGATGATCCTCCTTCCCAATTTTATCCATATAATAATACTGTGAGGGAGGATAGCCTAGGAGAGAAGCTGAGGGACATGATAACATTTTGTGGCTTTAGTCAGAATTTGAATCCAGGCATCTCCAGTCTTAGTTCAATGCTCTACCTATTATACAACACCAACTATTTTAGAGGACATAACTTTAAGCATATTCATGCACAGCATTGTCTCCCTGTTGCCCAAATACATTTGAAAGGCCTGTTCTGTTGTACTTCACTACAGTGGGACATGAAGTCTGCAAATGCCTGTGTATATTTCACTCCAGGAGCACTATCTGGACCGGTTTTTAAAGTGAGAAATATAAGGAAATGAAGTTAACGGTTAACATTTTTCTAAAGCCGGTAATGAACTGAAAATTATTCTATGCTTAGGGTGCCTTTCCCCCACAGAAGATCCACTGAGCTACAACAGAACTGAATTGGAAGGAAGTGTGCATAAAGGACGTGTGTAGAAAGCTGTCTGCTCTTCTCAGATAAATCCATGTTATGAATGTTATTAAACGTGTCAGATTTTTCCAGCCAGCATAGCACTTTCAGCACAAGTTCAGAGTAAACTGAATCTGGATCTTCTACAAAGCGGAACTACCATCTTTAATGTTACGCTTTCTTTTCCTTCTGAAAAATATTGTATTCTTGAAGATTCAAAAAACCCAAATCAACTTCCCGTGCATTCTTTTTTCTGGTGACAGATGGCTGTTGAAGTCTATAGTTTTGCAATACTAGTTTCATATTGTATGATGGCATATGCACTGCTTTACGGTGAAGATGTTGAGCCTCTCCCCTCTCCATCTTGAAGCTCTGTACCTTGTCACCTCACTTTTCCTTTCCTGCTTCTCTCCTCCTCCGCAGATCCCTCATCCCGGCAGCACTGATCAGTCCCATAGTTCCATGCAGCAAGGTTTGCACGTACCTCATCCCAGCAGCCAGTCAGGGCAGCCATTGCATCACAGCGGTCCTCCTACCCAGCCGTCCCGGCAGCCACAGCAGGCCGCAGCTAGCAACCATCCACACAATGACCTGGCCTTTAACCCTTCCTCCGCCTTAGAAGGTCAGGCTGGTGGGCAGGGAGCATCCGACATGCCAGAGCCTTCGCTGGATGTAAGTCTGTGTGTCATTCTGTCATCTGCTTGCCTCCGGTTGTGCTTTCTGTGGGGACCAAAAAAGCAGGGGAACACAGAACCACTTTCATAGCTCATGCCCTCATTTTACACCTTGAACCGCTAGGGCTGTTGAGAGAAAACCTTTCAATTTAAGCAACTCCAGTGGCATGCAGTTCTTCCTTAGTGGAAATTTGGATGAGAAGTGAAGTTCAAGAAGGCTACCTTTCTCCTTGAAAAAATGGGCCATGGGAACATTCTGATTGGAATATTATTAACCAATAATTACGCAGTGGTGTCCGTTCATCTTTCTTTTATTAAAAAAATATACTTCGTTTAAAATTTTGAAGCAGGAAGGTTAGGGCAGGATGACTCGAGGGTTGTATAAGATTATTTTTGCAGAATGTTAATTTTTAATTAACGTTTATGAACATCAATGATTTGTAAAAGGAGCACCCAGTGGCGCAGTGGGTTAAAGCCCTGTGCTGGAAGGACTGAAGACTGACAGGTCGCAGGTTTGAATCCGGGGAGAGGCGGATGAGCTCCCTCTATCAACTCCAGCTCCTCATGCGGAGACATGAGAGAAGCCTCCCACAAGGATGATAAAAACATCAAATCATCCGAGTGTCCCCTGGGCAACGTCCTTGCAGACGGCCAATTCTCTCACACCAGAAGCGACTTGCAGTTTCTCAAGTCACTCCTGACACAACAAAAAAAAAACAACCCTGATGTGTAAACTATGGACAGTTGCATTCTACATGCATGTGCGTCTAAATCCATCTCTTGCTTGCTCATCATTCCCTCTCTGACAATCACATCCAGGGTCAATATCAGAAGCAACGGGAGTTCTGATCCCTTACACCAGGGGTCCTCAAACATTTTAAGCAGAGGGCCAGTTCATGGTTCCTCAGACTGTTAGGGGGTATTGTTTGAAAAAAAAAATAAACAAATTCCTGTGCACACTGCACATATCTTATTTGTAGTGCAACCCCCCGCCCCAATGAAAAATACATTATTTAAAATAAATAACAATTTTAACCAACATAAACTTACCAGTTTTTCAATGGGAAGTATGGGCCTATCTCATGTTGTTTTAGAGGCATTCTGGAGAAAGGGGAGGTTAGATGCCCTCACCAAACAGAAAACTTCCCTTTTGTCAACTAACCCAAGTTCACTTAAGTCTAAAGCTAAGGATTTTAACAGGTTCACCAGCTAACTCTCACAGCTTATAAAGCATGTAATAAAATTAAAAAATTGCAGAGGGGTAAAATGACCAGATAAAATATGAGCCTTAGGTTACATGATTACTTTTCTTTGGAATAGATGTCTTGTATCTTGATTGCCACAAGAAATAGAACAGTGAAATATAGCTGTTATTAAGGCAATCAATTTGAAGATTTAAAGGTCAGAAGAGTCTTCTTCAGAGACAATAGAAAATGTTGAAAGGTTTGGCTATACGTTCTGTAAATGAATAGCTAAATTGGAAGATTTTTTAAAAATATATGTTTTCCTTTTGAATAGAAACATGTGAGTGTTCCTTCTTCCTTGCTGGCTGATGCTTTGTATAATCTGGGCTATAGAACGGAGAAAGAATATGTAACAGTCCTGTATATTGATTCTAGTCACTAATCTGTACCATTCAGGCAGAAGGTGTAGGACTGGATACAAAAAGTTTCTTTGTACTTAAAAATCTAGCTTATTCAGATGAAAGATCTTGGTTAGCTTTTTCCATTGCATGCTACTTCTGTGTGTATAAGGAATGTTCTTATGTGTGTGTGTGTGTGGGGGGGGGGACTCAGAAAATCATTTTGGCATTATATTTTCAAGTCCATGTGGAATATCTTAATTATAATGAAAAGCTTCCATGCCAGCGAGTATGTGCCAGTGGACTGGAGAGGCTTCTTATAGTGAGACTGACTATAAAGTAAAATAAACTTTCAGGTGTACGTTCGAAACTTTTCACCTTCTCCAATATCTCCAACCAAGCTTGCAATGACAGCTTTTTGACACACATTTCTTCTGTCTTTATTTTCCAGCTGCTTCCAGAACTCACAAATCCAGATGAGTTACTTTCATACTTGGATCCTCCTGACTTACCAAGCAATAGCAATGATGACCTTCTCTCTCTCTTTGAGAACAACTGAAGCCTTCTGTATTTTATCCCTCACCTCTCTCACCTGTTTGACACATTTGTAGCCTCACAGTGAGGAATCCCAAGCCAACCTTTTCCACGAGGAGAAACTCACAACTTGAGCGAATGGTGCACACTCCCTACTTTCTTCATCTCAGAACTGCTTGAGTCAAGCTTTGTTCATTGTAGCGGGGGAAAGGCAAGAGGACAATAAGGCGGTGACCTCAGAGACTGACACTCCGCATTGCAAACCATTTGTGCAGCAGTGAAAGGCCTCACTTGTCCAATTTGCAGAGAAAGAGAACATAGTTTTGGTGTGCATATTGAGGCGCATCCCAAGAGAAATGTCTCACAAGAGAAGACAAGACAGCAGAACTACTCTAAATGACCAGTTTCAGAATGTCCTTCCAACTCGTGTTCTTCCATGGTCCCTCCCTCCCCTTTTTTGCTGCAGAGTCTATTCCAATGTGTTCCTTCCCAGGTTGTGCAGGCCTTTTTTCTGTACATTTCTGACACAAAGAATAAGGACAAAATTTGGCAGCACGTGCAGACTAGCCAAATAAACTCAGAACCATCAAACACATACCAAAAAGCACAAAAATTAATACAGTTGTAAGTTGGATAAAAATTCAAATTCATAAAAAGGGGGCACCGGTTGTTTTTAACAGTGTATTCTCCATGGTAGAAGAGTTCTGTGAATCTCCAGGCTGTGGCAAGCATGGGGTTTTTTTTCTAAATTGTAGCAGTCTTTTTTATTATTATTACTATTATTAATCTTGTTGGCAGAATAATTCCTTTCATTTAACACAGAGTTTTGGACAAGTAGTTTTCTTCTGTCCTGCTCTTTTATTTTGTCTTTTCTTAAAGGAAGTTGATTTCAAAATACCACTTTTTGTAATAATATAGCCAGGCATTTTTTTAAAAAAGAAAGGGTGGGTGGGAGCCATATTTGCATATGAAATGGGGAAAAGAGAATAACTACAAAATGTCACCAAATGTTTTCTGTTTTTGTAATATGTAAAGAGAAGACCATTGCTCAATTCCCATCAAAAAATGTGGCAAGGATGTGAGATAATACCTCTCATTTCGAGATGAAGGAAAACGAGGAGATGAAAACTGCCCACTCTTGTTTGCAGTAGTTGATTTGAAAAAGGCATTTGTAGTGGGAGGGACATCTTACTTCTCCTCACCTTTGTTGTTGTTTTTCCAGGTTGTGTTATGTGCTCAGCCTTTTCGTTTTCTTTTTCAAAGAGAAATTTGGTTGTATCATCTAGCTGCCAGGACCATCACCCTTTCTTTTTAAGATGATATTTCCAAGGATAAAGGGCACGGGAAGAATAAGTCAGTTTGGTGCAGTAGTGTTGCAAGATTCTTGTGCCACAATGCTTCCGTCGTATTTGTGCTTCTCATGTGGTTGCTTCCCTCCTGCATGAGCTTCCAGTTGCTTCTGGGCCCATTTCTGTGCTCTCTGTCGTTCTCTGTTTATAAATTATGTATAGTATCTCTGTGTTGAGACGTGCATGTGTGCCAACTCTGCCCTTGTGGGCCAACATTTCATCTTCTGCCTACTGTGTACAGATATTGCTAATTTTGTGAATAGAGAAACCTTGATTGCTTCCTTCCTTGTCCAGAAACAAATCAAATATAACCATATTTGATTTCAGCAGTAGGCCTTCAACTTTGTCCCAAATGAACTCTTGCTTGTTGGTTTCAGTGTGTAAAGCCTGCCCACCGTATCCTCCATGAATGGCGTGACATGTGCATTCCATTCCGAATTTCCTCTCTTCACCAAAGTCATGCTTGTAAATTCGTTGAACGCTTGTTCTTAGCATCTTCCACCACTGCTGTATATGCATCTTGTTTTTATATATATATAGTCCACAGCACCTTGCTGTAGATATTACAGGAAATGGCAGTTTTAGTTCCTGTTACTTTTCAGTAGGAGTGTTGAATTTGTAAAACATTTTATGTAGAGATATTTCTACATTTACTTTCTCCCCCAAACCCTTTTATTGCATTTCCTTTTCTTTTTTTTCAAAAGAAGTGCTGTTCATTATGCAAAATCAATTACTTTCAGAATTACTATTGTAAATACCTTTTGTGAATATTTTAGAATTGTCTTTGATTATTATAATCAGCATTTTCATGATCTGGTTATACATATGTTTTTAAAATGCATAGTCCAGGAATAGAAGTGGGTCCCCTCCTCTCCCCGCCCCCCTTTTTCTCCTCCCATAAAGATTTCTCAAAGCATTTCATTTTGAAAAACTAGCCCCAGTTAATCATACAAATAAATTTAATACATCTGGCCAGTGTCATAAGCTACCATGTTTTATTTAGGAAGTTTGTTCTGTTTACTACTTCTAAAGTTCTTTGTTAGACTGCTTTGAGTAGTGTTTGTACGATAGTAGCTTTCCCTCACTTTTCTGCATCTGGGTTGTTGTAGGTTTTTTCGGGCTATATGGCCATGGTCTAGAGACATTCTCTCCTGACATTTTCTGCATCTGTTATGCAACTACTGAAATCATTTTATGGGCTGCTAAGAATTAGCAAATTTTTGCTGCCCCATTGCTCCTTGATTTTTTTTTGTTTGTTTGTTTTTGGTTTTTTGATCTAGGTGTAACACCATTTGCCTGCTAAATCAAACACAGCACATTAGTCATACCGTGCACAATGCCGTATCTGAGGCTCAGTAAAATTACTGATTTTGCTATCTGCCAAAAGACTGAATTTTCAGTTGCTGAAGAGGCTGGTGGACTTGTGGGTACATGTTGTGTGTGCCACGGTTAAGCCATGTTGTTCATTTTGGTCTGTTCAGATTGTGTTACTATTTTTTCAGATTTTTCCTCTAAACAAAATATTTGAACAGGAATCCCACACACACACACTCCCAGCAGAATCAGTTTCCTAATAATCTAAATGAAACATATAAACCACCTCTTCAAATGTTTCACTGAAGGATTAACTTTTCCTAAGAACAATCTGAATGCACCATATAGATACCTAGACATGCAAGGAGAAAAATCCTTGGGCTGCTGAATGCAGTTTTGTAAGTTAGGTTTTCCAGTTCCAAGAGCTATTTAGTCTTATCAGCAACAGAAATCAATGTAAATGTTTGACAGGTGTAGATTTCCTGTATAACTTCTGCAGAAAGAGGTCATAGGTTGACCAAAAGACAAGGGCTACCTGCTCTGGGTTTGTGAACAGGTGGAAGTGGCTGCCAAGATCCAGCCATGCACTTGCATGTTATTTTATTAAAGGGCATATTTAGCAAATGGACATCTTTTGTAAAGCCAGCCTAAAAAACACCCACCCATACACACAAAGGTTACTCATCAGGATATAAAATTATATGGACTGTCTTTAAAAAGGGGGGAAATGATTTTTAATCTGTGTACTGCCAAAATCTTTTAAATAACGTACAGCACAATCCTATGCATGACTACTAAAAGAAAGCCCTATTAAATATAATGGGGCTTCCTCCCAGGTAACTGTATGGGATTGCAGCCTTAGTTAATTAACCTTGTGTCTGGAGGGGAAAAATCACATCCCACAGTATTTTTATTCATTATTGTTTCAGGGGCATTTGGGTTGATGTTGTTTTTAACTGTTTCCCTATAGACACCCACCTGGAAAAAAACCCCACAGAGATTTATCGTTCTACTGCCAAGACATTGTTATTATTGTTATTATAGGATGATGAAAACACACTAATGTCTGCAGTGGAGACGCCCGGGACATGTGTACATATGTAAATGGAAAATAGAGACATGCTAACAGAAATGCATTCATTTTCCTTGGAATGTGCATTGTTTTTATTTCACAGGAAAAGGTAAATCTTGGAGATCCATCTTATGTGGAAAATGAATCCCATTTGTTAGCCTTTGTGAAGTCTCCATATTTGTTTCACTTCTTGTAATATACTCTGGATCCTTTGTGAAAATAATTTTTGTTGCTTTTTCATTTTGTTTTGGTTTACCTTCATGTAATAATTAGCTTAAGTGTATTAGTCTTATCACCTGTGTATTTTTAGGGTGCTAAAACAATGAAGAATAAAGGGGGTGAAATAATAAAAAAGATTGTAACCAAATTCATACTTTGTACAATTTTTTGATATTGTGATCAGAGGAGAATAAAAAAAGTACAATCTGAATTAACATGCAAAAATGGCCATTGTCTTTGTTTGTACATTGTATGTACAGTACAATGCAATCATTTCATACTTTAAAACTGGTCAGAAAAAATAATTGTGATTTTTAGTCTTGCAAAACTGTATGTAGTTAGATGATGTGACAACCTAATATTTATCTAATAAATATGTATTCAAATGAAACCTGTATATTAGGTGTTCATGTTGTTATTTTGTATTTAAAAAATCAGATTGACTATCGCTAGACATTTATATACTTTCTTGTAACACTGAAAGTACTTTCATTTTGCTCATGTTATTTTTTTCCTAAATAAATTTGGAAAATTATGGATGGAGTAATGGGCAACTGTTTTGTAATTCCGAATTATTTTTTACTGGTATTGTTTCATAAATGATGTTATAGCTTAGAATTCCATACAGTTTTAGTATCCCTTATCCAAAATGCTTGGGTAGTAGCAGTCAAAATGTTTGAGAAAAGAAATATTGGATACAAACCTGACCCTGTACATAATATGACTATAGGTGTACAAAATAAGAAATATAAGTATTTCTGATGTCATTCAACAAGCTATTTTTGGGGTTTACATTGTCCTGTTAAAGTACGCCATATTCTGCACTTGCCTTGCTTTTATCTAAAAGGTGTTTCCTTAAACATAGCAAGATCGCTCTTCAAATTTGATGGTGGGATTCAGAACATATCTGCTGTAGCACACGGGACAAAATTAGTCTGACCGCAAAATTGAGATGAACACTTACCTTTTTTATCTGGACAAGGTAGGAAGAGACTCTTCTGTCAAAATATATATGCTGAGGCATTTGACAACACCTGAAATTAAAAATTAGCCCAGTATATTAATAAAATGGCACTAAACCAGCCCAGCCTCAATGACTTCAACTCCCTTCCTCACTTCTTTGTCATGTTCTATAAATCATGCCCCCTGCAATCCTCTATACACTTCTCATGGGTTCTCCCCTTATCTCCAAGTAGGACGCTTGTCTTGTAAGCCTTTCATGTATCCATATTTAAGGAAAAAAGTTCAACTTCTATTAAAAATACAATAAAGATCCCCTTTCTTCATTCAGAAAAACTTTCTGATGAAATGTAGAACTTATTTTAGGCTATTCCAGCATAAATCCACGGATGGGGTGAGCTCCTGTAGTTAGCCCCAGCAAATGCGAGGTCAATAGGTACTGCTTCAGGGGAAGGTAACAATGCTCCATGTAGTCATGCCGGCCACATGACCTAGGATGTGTCTACAGACAACGCTGGCTCTTTGGCTTAGAAATGGAGATGAGCACCAACCCCCAGAGTAGGGCCCGACTAGATTTAATGTCAAGGGAAAACCTTTACCTTTTCCAGCACTAAGGCCAAAGCTGATTACTAGTTCGAAACAAGGATCTAGAAACAAGCCATTAACTTCAACTACATTTTGATTAGTTGGAACCCCACTACTCCCACAGAAAGAGAAATGATTCAATCACAGATTTCAGTAAATTGAGAAAAACGTTACTGTGTTTAGGATTAGGGTGCAATACTAGACAACTAATCATTCGATTCACTGAATTAAAAAACAAAACCAACAGGTCAACGGGACCAGGAAATTCAACTGAGCAATCCTAATAAGATCTGTACTAAATATTGTGCTATCGTATTTGTAAACACCCCGCCAAAGTAAATAATTGCATTTCCTTCACTTATCAAACAATGTCAGGTGTCTGACAAGTTGCAATGGCTTACAATACATAACCTTGGGGGTTTTTAGTTGCCACGTCACACCATGGACTCATGTGGAGCTTGTGGTCTAGTGTTACTACAAGTATTTCTTGACCATGGAATCATACTCAATTTTTCGTTAACTTTACCGAAGTCATTTACTGACACTGATTTACTGACAAGTATAGCAACAAATTGATAACTACGAAGATCCCTCTTCAGTGAATGAAGAGTTGAGAATTCTTAATATGATTTTTGTAGTCTCTGAACATTCGGGATTATTTTTTTTCTGTGCAAGTGAATTCCTGCGTCCTTTTGCCTAATCAAGAGGTTTACAATGCAAGGATTCATAGTAAGGTACTGTTTTTTTTCCTTGCAGGAGCCAGTACTATCTGTGGCGTTTGCAGTTTTAATGTTCACTTTTTCTGGACTCACCTTACCTTAATTGGGTTGTTTAAAGTTATTGAAAAAGAGTGGTTAACAAGGAAGGGAAGGGTGGGATGGTTAAAAAAAAAACAGAATGGGTGGGACAAGAGGAGCAAGGTGGAGAGGAGACCAAGAGAAAACAAAATGGGGTAGGTTAAAGAAAAGTGTTAAACTTAGTGATGCAAGAGACCAGCACTGTTTGAGTACAGAATTGTAAAGGGTTCATTGCATCTCACCACACACAAACTTATGTATATTATATAACTAGCTGTCCCCTGCCACGCATTGCTGTGGCCCAGTCTGTGTATGTGTGTTTGTGTATATATATATATGTGGTTTTGTGCATGCGTTTTTGGCTTTTTTAAGTCTCTTCTGCTTTGTTTTTCAGTGTTTTTAGGAGTGATGGTCACTCCTTGGGTTAGTAGGTGTCTTTGTGTCCAAATTTGGTGTCAATTCATCCAGTGGTTTTTGAGTTATGTTAATCTCACAAACTAACATTACATTTTAATTTATATAGACAATATAATCCTTATGGGAGGGAATATATATATATATATAGAGAGAGAGAGAGAGAGAGCCATAAAAGACTCCTAATAGTGTCCTTTCAAAGACGCAGTAGAGAAGGGCACCTGCCTCTCAGGTTTCAAATTCACTACAAAAAG